AACGTGTCAAACAGTTTAAATACTTGGGAAGCATAATTACAGAAAATCTAGATTCAGGGAGAGAAATTAAATGCAGGATAGCAGCAGCTTGAACATCCTTCCAAAAAATGAAAACCCTGCTCTGCAACGACAATTTAAATTTGAAATTGCGGCAACGCATGGCCGAATGTTATATTTGGTCAGTTCTCCTCTATGGTGTGGAAAGCTGGACATTAAAAAGGAATACAGAAAGAAGACTGGAGGCATTTGAGATGTGGATTCACAGAAGGATGCTGAGAGTCCCATGGACGGATCGAGTGACCAACAACGAAATTCTAAGCAGAGCAAGAACAAACAGAAAATTGCTGTCAACAATCAAATGCAGAAAGATTGCATACTTGGGACATATCACTAGAGGAGAAAAATACAAAATCCCACAACTAATCCTCAATGGAAAGATTGAGGGAAAGCGTAAACGAGGCCGAAGACATTTATCATGGATGGACAATATTAAAAAATGGACAGGCATACAAAACATTGGGGAGGTAATGAGAACGGCCGAAGATAGGAACTCCCTCTCCTTGGTGATCGCCAACGTCCGGGGAACCGGGCATGGCACGTGAAGAAAAAGAATGTCTCATATAGATCTATCCATGCCAAATTTCTAAAAATTGATACTAACACGCCTATAATAATTGTTTATATTTTAACAGCAGTGAATTTTACGAATCTCTGCGCTATTTTACATATTTATTAATATGTAAAATAGCGCAGAGATTCGTAGTGTAAGTACATTACATAAATTCATGACACATTAAAAATTTCACATGGATCTTTAAGGTTTTATTTAAAGAAAATCTAATTATGTAATTTACACAATGAATAAATACATAAGATTATTTAATACAAAAACCTGTTAAAGTAATACAGGCATAGAAATGAAATATATCCACTGTTAAATATTGTTGAAATACGAGCTATTTGCGAATAGAATTAGATTTTATATTTTCTGAAATGAAAAATTAACCATGCTATTTTCATATTTTAATTTTTTACGTCTAAGTATGTGGGACGTCCGACTCTGAAAGTTCTTATAAAAGAATAGTGAACACTGGTCGACATGTAAACATCTGGTTTTCCAGTATTATTTCCGCCGTTAGACAAAATGCCAATAAGCACTGGTCTGTTTAACGCATCTCTCTTGATCAGTGGTGAGCCAGAATCTCCCTGTAACAATAAAACTTTTATAAATAACAGGGTAACATTAACTATAACCATAATATGAAAAGTAGTAACTGCTTTACTTTCATGCCTATTACTCTAGATGACACTGTTGTAATTTCTTTGTAAGTTAATTCGTAGTCGAATTTACGAGCCACGTATTTTGGATCTACTAAGTTTACTTCAGCTACTTGAAGAAGGTCTGTTTTATCATCTTTTTCTAGATTACATAAAATGTCATTCGTATTATTTTTATTGTTGTACAAGACTTTGAATAATACAGAAAAATAACAGACTTACTGAAACCAATATTTCCCCAACCGACCAACGTGGCGTGACCTTCAGTAAATGTTAAATCTTTTCGAACTAAAGCAATCGGAGATATATCGTTAATTCTGTGTGCGAGAATCAGAAGTGCAATATCATTATTATTATACTCTTTTGGATTATAACGTCCGTGTATAATCCTTCTCCGAAACAGCACTTTCTTCCCCGCGTTTTTGTTAACGTCTCCTATTCTTCCGTAAATATCTTTGACTTTGTATCTGAATAAAAACGAAATTTAAATAAATAATCATTAGACGAAATAATAGAATAAAGCAAAATATTATTACATTACTTTTTCGGTTTGTAAATCACATTTTTTGTTTTTATCTTCTACTTGCTCCTTCTGATAACAGCTTTGTCAGAAAAATGGCAGTGAGTTCCTGTTTGTATGTTGGAATATCTATTGTAGCCAAGTAAGTGTGTAGATGGACGGAATGATAGGAAAATTCAATTTTACTTTGATATGGTCAATTTTTTAAGTGGTTTGCCTTTCGCAACGACTTACCATATTAATCTGGTTCATAAATTATTGTGAGATCCGCGATTTTTACGTAGTTGTCGGAAGAACAGTTGTAAACAACTCGGATGGAAAAAACTCGCTCTTGGTGAGGAGATATCGGAGGTCACCGTTTGTTTTCACAATTAGGTGGAAAAGTTGACACTTGGTTGATCGGTATGCACCGTTAGTGTCGACAGAAGTAGATCACATGACTATTTTCCCACGAAGAACGTATAAAAGCTCGAGTTCCCCGGAAGCTCAGGGCGACCAAAGGAAGTTATAGTTATTAATGTGCGCATCTTGTCTCCATACACCGGACGTAGCGACCGAAAGGACATTGCCATACGACAGACCACAACTTCGAACTTCCGTACTTATCGTCACAACTACAGTTCCTGCGCCGACTGCGAGTTCTACGGCCCATTCAACGAACGCATATTAGTCATATCCTCATAGAGATATTTGTATTTTAGAGCTTTGTGAACTCTTTCTCTCAGATTAGCCGTTAGAACGGTTAAGAGCGGCCTTTGTATAGTTACTTCATATTTAACCGAATTTACACTTAATATTATTATCGCCTCATGTATCCTAGCCTAATTATTCAAATAAACGCTTTGCTATTTTGTTAAGCCTGTCTCCTGTCATTGANTTCTCTCAGATTAGCCGTTAGAACGGTTAAGAGCGGCCTTTGTATAGTTACTTCATATTTAATCGAATTTACACTTAATATTATTATCGCCTCATGTATCCTAGCCTAATTATTCAAATAAACGCTTTGCTATTTTGTTAAGCCTGTCTCCTGTCATTGAGAGGACGCCTGCCGACTTCCTCATCTCCCTAGCCACTTGATAAATAGCCATCCGGAACGACAACGTGAACGGTCTTTGCAGACTGTTGCCGAGTAAGTGTTCAACAGGGATTAACCCATGGCTCACGGTTTCTCACATTATGTTAGCCACTTGAAGGAGGCCTTCCTAGTGCTTCTTCTAACTAAACCCTACGTCATTCATTACATTATTTTTGTACATTTATACCATGTGCTTTTGTAAAAATTGTTGTTTGTATCATAATACTGTGTTTCCGCTGTATTTATCAGTAACTAGGTTTACTATCTATGATTATATTTTTGTTTTATGTGTTTTCGTTTTTATCTGTCTTTGGAGCAGTCTAGATACCCACTCCGTTATATATAACAGTCGGGAAAGTAAAACTACTATAAATAGTGACTCAACTCCTCCTGGATGAAATATGAGAAAAGAAATAAAGATCGACAACAAAATACTTAGTCCACATTTTCCGAAATATTATGTTTCAATAATTTGATTTTAATTTTGATTAAAATTTATTAATTAATTTTGATTAAAATTTATTAATTAATTTTGATTTTACTTTTAATTTTAAATTAACTTTATTTTGTTTATTATTTTATTTTATTACTTTTAAGTTTAATTAATATTTTTACTTTCAATTAACTGCGTATTTTGTATTAATAAATATTATATATATATATATATATAAATGGACATGTATGTCCCTATATTTCACTTTTTCGCCAAAACTACACATCGTACGTGAATGATGTTTGTATGTAGTGGTAGCCCCAAGTCTCCATTCGTGCATAGGGGTGGTTGCGTCTCGATAGCTATAAGGGTGCGGGAGATATGAGGCTGAAAGTGGTTGAAAGTGGCTTTCTATTTCGAATGTTTTGTTCGA